TGATTTTCTGTATAAAATTCAATTAATGATTGAAGCTTTACTGTGGAACAAAATCTAAGAATACTGTATAACAAAATAAAAAGGGTTTGACAGATACTTGTTATACGATTAAATTCCTTTTACATTTTTCTTTAATCGAAATTGAACTGTAACTCGGTAAATCATATGGATCGCTCAATTAATCAGAGAATCTGGAGCAATGTTACGTTTTAGCCAATTTCGATTGATTACTAGTTTCGTCCTACTTTTATTATCCGCTTAATAGCAATTAGTTTCTCATCCATCAATTGAAACGTCGTTTTATTTCTTTTTTTTTTCTAGAATATAAAAAGTTTAGTTAGAAATAAAAGATTAGTCGGTAATCGCGATCAAACATTCTGACATCGCAATCCCATGCTTTATGTCCATTACAGAACTGCTAAATAATCGCTTCCCATCTGATTCCAATTTTTTGTTGAGCCAATGGACGTTGAAATATCCTCCGCTATACCGTTGCACGCGCGTCCCCAAAACAGACGCTCGGTTCCACAGCCGTTCGCCATTTTCTCCGCCTAGTGGTCACTCGAAACTGTTTCGAAACTCATATACACTCGACGTTTCAGTCGCAATTCGTCCGATTACAAAAAAGAAGCAATTTCCAACTGCTGAAAAATGTGAAAGTAATAAGACTCAGATTCGAAAGGTTTCAACATTTTTCACAAACAGCATATTTACATCAGATCCTGAGTCAGTTCCACACTAATGTCAGATCATTTTAGCGAGCTAATAAAGTATTCTCTTCTTATTTCCACCTTGATACGAATATCTGATTTCAGAAGAATTTTAAAAAACAGTACCACAGCTAAGAGGTTAATTATATTTAGAATAAATTACAATTTTTCCAAATTTACGTATTTTATTGTTATATTACAAAAATTCGTTACAACCCCCTATCCTCTTTCACCGAAGAGGGCCCTGAAAAGTTTGACAGCCCCACAAAAATTTAAATCCGTGTCTGTCGATGACCAACAACTCTAACCACGTCACCTCCTTTCGCAGGGATCGTTAAGTCGAGCCTTCGGTCTGCGGCCCAGGAGCGAGAAGGCATCGCCGTCGTCGTCCTCGGACACCGGAAGTCTAGCCAGTCAGTACATGAGCAGCGCACGGAGCAATTCACCGCCGCCGCCGCAATTGCCACCGAGACCAGTCGCCGGGAACAAGAGGCACCGTAGGGTGAAGAGCATAGGGGACATCGACTACATAACCAGCGCGGCGGTTAGCACCCCCGTTTGACAGGAGGGTAGGCCCCAGCATACGGGGCCTTATCGGAGCCTTAGTGAACGCGGCTACTCGTCCTCCTACTCGTCGCAGTACGGCTCCTATTCCGGCTACAGCAACATTCTGCCGCCAGGGGAACAGTACCAATACCAACACACTGGTAACTACTATCAGCTGAAAGGTGGTTATTACTCACCACAAAGCACCGGCCCGCCTTTCCCAGGTGTTCAAAGGTACGGCAGCCTGGCCGAGGAAGCCTGGTCCTGCACCACGAAAGATGATCCCGCTGCGAACCCAAAGACGAACCCTAGGACCTACTTAGCCTAGGCTCAACATGGACCGTTATTGCTGACGATCTACCCGGTCCACCCTGGATATCTTCGTGGGTTTTTATTGTGAATCGTTGGAAACGGTTTCCTTCTGAATGATGTACTGTGTGGGATGATTGTGGGAATTATGGAAATGTGTTGGATACCTAGCTTGGCAGACGGATGCTATTATTGCAAAGTCTCTTTCTGTAATGACGGATCGGTGATCTTATAGTAGCAGTTCCTGTTTTAGTTACGGAGCTAACCCACCGTGATCCGACGTTTGTCGGTGGCAGAATCTTGAAGAGGGAACAGTTACTAGTAATGATCTGTAATTCTTCTTTGTTGGAGCTTCTTTCTGAATTTGGGATCGTTAGTGGATCGAAACGGAGGAACTATCGAATTTAATCGAAGCGGATCCTGGAGTTTTCGTCGCCACTTTTCCTCTTCGTTATCTTGAAGAATATTCGAATCAATTTCGATTGATTTACAACGAAGAACGTCGGTGTCGTGTAAGAAGATGCTGGTTTCACATTCAGCGGGGAAATTTCTGTCGGGTAAACCGTGTATTTCAAGGAGTGTAACAACGAAGCGTTATTGATCACGATTCGGGACAGAATCCTGGAGGATCGCTGTGATGTAAATCGAATTAAAGAAGACGTGTCGCTAGAACGAGGCTTGGATCTGTTTCCTAGGTCTGATTTCTCATTGTTCTCATCTAGACGAGCCTTTTAGCCGACGAGTGAAGAACACCATTTTTCTATGGTTTTTGCGTGAAACAGATTACCAAAAGGTTCGCCTAAAGACTCACTGGTCCGCTGAAAGGCTAGAAGCCGATCCCAGCGACGTAAATTTGCTCGGAACTATTGCAAATTGCGGGACAAAGCCGCAAATGTCAGGACCAGTTTCGTAGCGGGTTAAAAAAAAGAAGATACAATAGATGTAGACGAAAGACTGTTGACAATAGCGTCAGCAGTGTGATTTGGTAATCGACGATTCAGAATGGGTCTGGAATGACGTGTTTACTCGAAATGTAAACTAATCGAGATCGATGATGTTAGGGGACTCTGGAGAACGGTCACGAAATTCGAACGATGATTAAGAAGACAGAAGCACAATCAAGTCTGCTGATTACACTACTGGAGTACAACAGAACGTGTGTCACATTTAGGACCTAGACGAAGACACTATCTACCGGAATTGCTGCCAAACATGAAGCTTCGAAACTTCAACGAACACACGCATACACACATACACGCGACCAATTAGAATGAAAGAAAAGGAACATGTGCTAGACGTATCCATGGATTTATATGATTTTCCAGTTAGGGTCCCGTTGTCTGTGATCCAGATCGGAGTTAGAACGACGCTGATTAGAAAAGCTAAAGTCTCGCTAGAGATACATCGAAATTGATGAAACTTGTACACGGGTTTTTTGGTATAGTATCCGCGGATTTACGGATGTTGAGTTCTAGAATGCATGAAAGAACTGGATACGTGATGTTTTACGAATTGGAAGAGTTGTTAGGTATTTGTTCAATCGTGAAAAAAATAAGTAATCGGTGTAACGATCGCCGAATTGATAAGAAGGAAATGGACAGGGGCTTCCATTGGTATTCCTTATAAGAAATACTACAGTCTGTTCAGATCAGCAGACAACATTACATTCCAAGTCGCTGTTTCTCGACTGATCGGAGAATCGAAATAGGCGGTGACCTGTTCTTTTTTTTTTTTTTTTCCTATTATCGACGAAATAGGTTAGGACGGAATCGACGAGACCAAGCTAAACGACAAAATGTATTCAGCAAGTTTTTCTGCGATCTATATTGTATTAAATCGTTAATCTTCTCGCCGAGGTCTCTCCAGAACCTTCCATCCCCACCCCTCCTGGCGCATTCACGTTATTATTTTCTACGTTCGTGATATTTGTACATATATGTACTAAACATGTAAGAAATGTTTTTTCGTCGAACGCGCACATATGGGAAAACAATCGAGGGGGACGGGAAGCAAAAAACGATCCTTGTCGAGGGATGTTTCTTGTCAGGATAAAAGACGAGTTTAATTCTTTAACTCGATATATTTATTACACGAATATGTATACGGTGTGTGTTTGTGGTAATAAGAACTGTTTTTAATTGAAGTCCTGGATCTGTAATCCTTTTTCGTAAGGGTTGCTCTTTCACGAGGAAACGAAGCGAGAAACACAGTATTACTATTTATTCTTTATTTAATGCACACATATCGTTAATGAAAGAATAATATAATCCAGGACCATGGACAAATCCTCCACGAAGTCCGTTTAACGTGGTCGGATTCAACTTATTCGCGTGATTTTCAAATTCATCGACAAGGATCAGTTTTTCTTTTTTTTATCACGAAACCCTCGAAGTTCGGAGCATGGTACTCACAAAAGACGAAGATCGGGATGTTCGTCAGAGATTATTTTTTCGAGCTAAAGCCAGAATCGATCGTTAAATACGTGTAAGCTGTAAGTAATTGTGTATCTATTTAAGAAGGAACGCGTACACGAGCTGATCAATCGACGATGTATTAACACGAGCTGATATTAATTATTATAACGCGTTATAATGATTAGTATTGTGAAATTGTCATTATGTTACACGGATCCGCGATCAGCCAAGACGATCGGGACGATCCGATGAATGCACGTTTGAATTACCGTATAATTACGATGACGTAAGACGACGTCTTTACTTTTTCTCTTTAATTTTTTTTTTTTTTAATTCTTTTCCTCGTTATTGTAGATAAAACTTCCAGATGATTGAATATTTATTCCGTAGGTACGGTCTTCGTATTTATGCTGAGTGGTAACTTATTTCGATTGGACAGTTTCGATCCGCGGGTCGTTCGACGCTGGATCAGTATTATCGTCGTTTATTACGGCTAAACGACCGATCAATACTCCCCTCTTCCCCCTCCCCGCGAGTAATATTTTCTACACACCTAAGTAATTTATTTGGATATATTAGCTTAGGTCTAATTTATTTGACGCGCGTGTGTCACGGAACAAGGGAAGATCAACAATTGTGGATCCGAGTCGATCACAAGGAAGATCTACGTCGGTCCAACTGACACTTCGTGATCGGTTAAGGTATTTTAAGGAAAACAATTGTAACATTCGCTTGTGGATGTCTTCATTGATTAAACGCGACCAAATGATCGAAGGAAACATTGTAAATGTGCTCAGTATCGTCTGTATATATCTGTGTGAATTGTATCTAAATATTTGCGAGAAATAAAATAAATGAATGCCTTTACTTCTGTGAAACGTAAACGTTCGTTCCGGTTCCGATATTTTCGATTTTTATCGCGTTAGTAGATCGTGGATTCCATTGGTGTTTCAGAATATAATTGCATTTTATTTCGAAAGCGACGAAGTTCTCAGTAACAAACATAATAAATGTCGGTTTAATTTCTATTTTATATATTGGTTCACTAACAAGTGTATTTTTTATAATAACAACATTCGTAACAAAATTGTGCGCAATACATTCTCTTAAATTCTTTAAACTACATAGTTCTAACATAACATTTCATCATTTATTTGTGTCTTGTACTTTATCACAACAGGTGTTCGTTACAATACAATCTTAGTAAAAAATATTAACCTAACATCAACAATTTTTGTTTTTTGACTCGTACAAAAATTGCAATACGTCTTAACTTAATTAAAAATACATTTATCTCTGCACACTTGCAAGTGCGTACTAGCGCGAGTAGAGTTATTTGTATTAGAGAGTATTCCATGGCTCTCTATATAACATATACGAATTAAAAGCAGAATACAAATCATCGCGTAACATATCAAGAAGACGGAACACATTTGTGACGATTTTAGCCAACAAAGAGTATACAGCGGTACTACCTTTAAAAGGAGAACACGCGTTCATGGCTCTCTGCTTTAAATTAGCCTTGCAGTATTCCCATACGAAGAAAATTACCTTGTGCAAAATCTTTGATGGCTCTTTATCAAATGTTATCAAAGTCACACCAATCTGGAAAACCATTTTCAATATATCTACAGCATTATCCATATGTGTCATCTCTTCGAGTATCTGATGGAAGTCATTAATATGAGGCACTTCATGTTGCCTCTCAGAATAGTAATTTCGTAGCAGAGTTGAAAGTAAAGTTTTTAACGCAGCCATTGTTCGAGAGTTAATTAACGAAGACAACGAATTTGACCCTGTAAGTGCTATCGCACCTATTGTCAGCAACTGTTCTGTGACCAATAGAGGGTCTAACAACGTTATACCATTTATCAGGAGTTTACCATTTTCAGACATTATCTGGAGACTATTCTGCCAGGTTTTTGTATTCAAAGAGCTTATGCCCTTAAATTTTTCAAGAACAGTTCCATTCGATGTTCCTATAAGCTCACCAGCCAATTTGGTATTTACTATACTGTTACTGAAGAATAAAATGTGTGAGCTGAACATAACTATATCAAATGGATCAACTGTTTTCGTCTTCTTGTATTTGCTAATTAAGCAGCAGCCTTGATAAACTACACCAGCCCCATTTACTGTGAGATTACCTATTACCACTGCATTGTAAGCTAGTTTTGCCGCAGTACTTATTTGAGTGCCCTTTGCAACTGCTTGTGATAAGAACATGGTTCCACCATTCGCCCCTATAGTTAAAGCTGAACCGGTTATTCCTATCCATGCAGATAAGGCATTTTTGTTCGCAGGACTGATAGATCCTTCGTGGCTATTGAGATCTACTAATTTTTGTGAACTTCTAGCAACATTCCATAATCCACTTAGGCCACAGCTGACTAGTCCTAATAAACCATAAAAGTGATTGCTTGTGTGATCTTAAAATATTACTTTTTACGGGTATGTAAATAAAGAAATTCATACCTGCACTGGCTAATACTGGTCCAATAGGAGTAAAAGCAGCTGCAGCTGTTAGTCCAACAGCTGTACCAAGACTTAACACATTTGAAGCAATGTCAATAGATTTTACAACAGTCTTTATAGTTGAACAAGAAGGTGATTGTAATATTTGAATCCACACAGTTGAAGAGTGTTGTGTAATGTTATAGGATGGATTACATTGATAAACTCCATCCTTTGGTACAACCATTAAACACTTAGGTAACTCATTATTTTTTAAATAATCTTCCCAACTTTTGTACACCCTGGCATTATTATCAATATACCATACAACACTAATATCCCTCTTTATTTTAAACACTGGGAATGCAAATATCTCATTGGACTTTTCATTGCTATCATTTGTGAATTTCACTGGTGATTCGTGATTGAATATAACATTATATATTATAGCCATGTAAATACGCTTAGTAGACTTTTGTTCACCATACTTGAGTATCTTCTGATGTATAGAGCTGATACATTTACAAGAGTCATTATTATACTTGACTTTACTGAATATGTCAGAACTGTTCACAATACTGTCTTCCCTATCTGTATTAATATCAGGAGGACCAAAAAGTGCAAATCCAATTTGTTGCTCAATATATTTGTACTCACATTGATTATATTCAAACCAGTCAGGAAGAAGTTCATAATACTGTTGTTGATAATTTCTTGCAACAGTTTCCATCTGTTTTACAAAATATACAAATATAATTCCTAATAGTTATAAAGTGAAGAAGATTAATTATTTACCTTGATATAATTATTGGAATTCATTGTGGCCTATTTGAAGCAGGAAGATAAGTACCTATATTTTGCCATAATTTATATTAATATTAGTAAAATACTAAATCTAGAAAAATAGATCTCAGTACATTAATTATAACAGAATTATTTATTTCGAGACACATGCTGCTCAGAAAATAAAACGGGCACTGCTCTTTATTTATATACGTGATCAACATCGATTTGGAATGAAGTAAGTATACCTGTACAATCTATACATAGTTATCGGTATACATATATATATATAAACACGTCGAAAGCTGTACTATACAACAGGTAACAGTTTCGTTGCATCCCAGAAATAGATTACGAGGTACAATTTAATTCGCGATGAAGATCTATACATACATACATATTTCAACTGAGTCTTGAACTTGCGATCGTAATTTCGAAAAAAAACCGAGTTTCTGAACATTTCTCATGCCAAACTTCGTATTTGATGAAATTGAATTTGGAAATTCGTTCAATCTGAACTACAAGCGAACGTCAAAACCAAAAGAAAAACATAACAGCAACAATCTGTCAGAATATCAGTTGAAATAGTCGTAAATAATGTTTTATACTCTGTAAACGATTGTTTCATGGATCTATTCAGTGTAAAAAATTTCTACAATGCAAATTACGTACTTACCACCGTTACATTCAATCACAGAATTCTATAAGTTTGTAATCCAGTACTACATTTCGAGAATAATTACAGACCACTTTGAACAATACAACCGCTGTATGGATATGTTGGCTGTAAAATCAAACGAATATGTACATAATATACACATGCCGAAATTTGATTTGTACACTACGGAATACGGGACTTCCCAACTGACACCGCCGAAGTCACAGAGGGTAAACCAATACTACCAAATATCGGCAGCCATACAACAATTCAAACAATGTAAACAAAGCCATACTGATACGTGATTGGATTGACAAACCAAGATTCGGTGAAACATTTATTTTTCAATAGGTCCGTCGGCACACGAACACAAGACTCCTTTCTAATACGTCTACTTTACAGCGAACGGATGGAAGAGAATCCGTTCACGACCCCATACTATGGGGCCCATAGTCCCTTCGATAAGTTTCCGACGTACCGCACACTCATGCTCTGACAACATTGCGTAATTTAGACTTTAGTACTTAGTTTTTCGGGACTTAATGCCTGGACCCAACAGTGCAGAACCCCTGAATTAGTAAAATTAGTTATGCCTGCATTACCGTAGCCCCTTATGGGGCGACAACCCCAATTGCAATAGATTTCGATCGCATTTACACCGTTGAACGGGCATAATTTGTCCTCGTCACACATTGAATTAGAAGTTTGAAGAACGTAGATTAGTTCTTTCTAGCGGTTGGGAACCAGTAAGTACAAGAACATTGTTAAAATCGCATTTGTTTGCAACGGTTGACATTGTATCTCGTCATGCGTACCCCGATTAGTTCAATATGAATAGCTCTTCCAACGTTCTATGGTCAGGTTACGTCTTGATCAAGCATTCAGATTGAAGCTGAAAGAACGTAGATTAATCCCCTGTCATTAACAATAACAATAAACGACCAGATCACTGTTAAAATCGCATTTAATTGCGGAATACCACTATTTTTTCGACCGGTGGCGCCGCCCGTGGCAATTCGCTCAAACTGCTAGCAAAATTATATCGACAGGTGAGTGAAAAGTTCTAGTAATAGAAAAATGCAAATATCTCAGTAATTACGAGCTTAATATGAACGTCATTAGTCTCAAATTGTTCCTCAGGACTTAATGCATGGACCCAATAGTGCAGAACCCCTGAATTAGTAAAATTAGTAATGACTGATTACCGTAGCCCCTTATGGGGCAACAACCCTAGTTGCAAAATATTACGATCGAATTTACACCGCTAAATGGGCATGATTCTTCTTCGTTTTGCATCAGATACAACGTTTAAAGAACGTAGATTACTATTCTCTAACGGCTGGAAACTAGTAATTGCGAGAACAGTGTTAAAATCGCATTTGTTTGCAACGGTGACACTGTATCTCGTCATGCGTACCCCGTTTAGTTCACTTTGCACAGTTCTTACACCGTTATACGGATAGCTTACGTCTAAGTAAAGCACTCGATTTGTAGCTGAAAGAACGTAGATTAATCCACTGCTATTGATAATAACAATAAACGACCAGAACACTGTTAAAATCGCATTTAATCGCGGAGTACCACTATTTTAATGACCGGTGGCGCCATCCGTGGCGAACTGCTGAAACTGCTGGCCAATTATATGGCTAGCAGTTTC